GGGGGGGGTACTATTTTTTTAGAATTCATGTGAAGGGAGTCATTGAATATTTTGGTGATGCAAGGGGGGCAGGACATTTTGTTCAATTGTTAATTTAATTTTGCCAGCCCACCCCCGGTCATAAATAATGAATGGTCCCTTACCTCAGCTGCACAAGTTTGTGGTCAATCATTGCTAGTGTATGGTGACAGTGAGAAAGTTAAGTGTATGTTGAAAGGATCTATCCAGTTGAGCTACGAAGAAATTGAATTGTACGTTATTTGGCATAGTTCAACGGTAGGATTCTGGATACTTATTACTTGTTGTTATAATTATTTATGTGTCTGTCTCCCTCTTTGTTATTGATTGTATTTTTTTTGTGTTTGTATTTTTGTAAACATTGTTTCTTTTCATATTAAAAAAAAAATTTGTAAATAATGTGAACCTCCTTGATAAGCCTTGGCTTTTGAGGCAAATATGTCAAGAAAGTCTATATAAAAAAACTCAGCTGCACCGCTGCTTGCTGGTCCAATATGTTCTATATATCTTCAATGCCAGCATTGCACAACAAGGTCGCATCCCGACACTCTGGAAATCAGCAGACGTTATCCCAGTACCAAAAATATCAAATCCCAAATCAGTTGATAGCGACCTAAGACCTATTTCTCTCACACTGGTTCTGAGTAAATTATTGGAAAGCTTCGTTTTTCAGTGGCTTTTTAATTATATCAAACCATCAATTGACCCGCTCCAGGCAGTTGGGAATGATAAAAAATTGCTCCACTGCACACGCTCTTTATATCCACATGATCCATAACTGACTGGCCGAATAGACCTTTCCCCTTATTTGAGTGAAATTTTGATCTAGACAAGCCTGGACAAAAATTTCATCACAGCTTGAAAGAGCATCACAAAATTAGTAATATTCCGAAGTTTCGTTGCGAAATGTTGCCGTTTTTCGGAAATTGGTAATCTTGATTACCAATTTCCCATTTGTAATACAAAATGACTGAAAAACGGAAAACTTCGCAAGGCTATATTATCCGCATTTTACAACATTTCGCAACGAAACTTCGGAATATTACTAATTTTGTGATGCTCTTTCAAACTGTGATGAAATGTTTGTCCAGACTTCTCTAGGTCAAAATTTCACTCATAAGGGGAAAGGTCTATTAGAAATTAATATACTAAAACTGTCTGTACTATAGTGTGGGTAGTACCAATGTAGAAATGCTGTGCTGAGTGGTTATATTACTACCTTAAAAAATAAGCAGAAACTCGACGTTTCGAGCGAAGGCCCTTCGACCTAGAAAACCCTGGTTCAACTATCAGATGTTGTATGATTGACTTTTCGAAAGCCTTCGACCGCATCGATCACAATATTTTACTTCATAAATTACAACAACTTTCAATATCTTTATTCTTTACACGTTCGCTTAATAAACCCAAGTGTACCGATTTGCTTTAGCTGTAATCTTTGAACTATGTGTTCCCCAACTAACATCTTCGCTTATAGTTATTCCTAGTTCTTTAGTGGTTTTAACGCATTCGAGAGTTTCATAACCCAATTTATAATCATGGGTTGTCTGGATTTTCTTTCTCGACAATCCAGGGCCTTTTTTAAGGATTTTCCCGTGGGGGGGGCATTTTTTGAAAAGGGACCTTTCTGTGAGATAATATATTAGAGGGGGATAGCAATGGCTGAAAGCCACGTGTGTGGCAAATATACCACGCATGAATGGGGGGTCTGGGGGTGTACTCCCCCAGAAAATTTTTGAAATTTGACTCCCGGAAATGTCATTTCCTGCATTCTGAGCATCCAAATTTGCTCCAAAATTTATCCTAACTATACTTGTATTTGAAATAAATAAAGGAAGAAACACACAAAAAAGTTAAAAAAAATTAACCATCATTTATCATTACTTATTAGCAATGGTCAGGTGTGTGGGGGTGTACTCCCCCAGAAAATGTTTGAAATTTGAACCACGGAAATGCCATTTCCTGCATTCTGAGCATCCAAATTTGCTCTAAAATTTATGCTAACTATAGTTGTATTTGAAATAAAAGATGGAAAAATGCACAAAAAGTAAAAAAGAATATTAACTGTAATTTATCATTACTTATTAGAGGGATAATCCCAAGAAAATATTTGAAATTTGAAACCGTGAAATGCTATTTTCTGCATTCTGAGCATCCAAAAAATAAAAAAAATATTAACAATAATTTATCACAGCTTAGTGGTAAAAAAAGTTACAATTTAAATCGATTTTGTTAAACAAGAACAAAGGATAAAGCCTAAAACTTACTTTCCGTTTATCTATTTGTTAATCTTCGCTGGATTGTTTGTATAATTTTTGGAAAAAGGGACTTTTCCTGGGGGGGCAAAATGTGATTTCGTGGGGGGGCACAAGGGGGGACTGGGGGGGGGCAAATGCCCCCCCAGCTTGTATGTTAAAAAAGGCCCTGCGACAATCTCATTACTTTACATTTGTTAGTGTTAAATTTCATATGCCACTCTTCAGTCCAAGAACTTACTTCGTTTAAATTGTTCTGTAAACTTCCAGTATCAGCATCGGATGTAATCACTTTGTATAATTTTGACATCGGATGTATTCACTCTGTATAATTTTGACATCGGATGTAATCACTCTGTATAATTTTGACATCGGATGTAATCACTCTGTATAATTTTGACATCGGATGTAATCACTCTGTATAATTTTGACATCGGATGTAATCACTCTGTATAAATTTGACATCGGATGTAATCACTCTGTATAATTTTGACATCGGATGTATTCACTCTGTATAATTTTGAATCGTCGGCATATAATGCCATTTCTGTTGGTCATGGGTGAACTTGTTCAGGAAGGTCGTTAATAAACAGTATAAAAAGTAGTGGGCCCAGAATAGATCCCTGGGGCACACCAGAGGTCACTTCAAGCCATTCAGAATAGTGTCCATCAAGAGCCACTCTTTGAACCCTTCCAGTAAGGTAACTGTTAAACCAGTTATGCATAGAACCATGAAAACCATGTTTTCTTAATTTATAGAGCAGTAAACGATGAGATACTATGACTTTTTTTTCTGTGTTGGTGTAATGTGCAGGTGAATATGATGCTTGTGATGTTACTCTGAGTATATATCCACACCGGGCAAGCTTGAAAAACATGCCTGACCACGGTGGGAATCGAACCTACGACCTTTGGAATACTAGCCCAATGCTCTGCCAACTGAGCTACGCGGTCTGGTCGGTTCGTGTATGTGATATTTCGGAACAGAATCTAGTTCCTTCGATATCAATGTAATCTAATAATCATGATTTTTTTTTTCTGTGTTGGTGTAGTGTACTCAGGTGAATATGATGCTTGTGATGTTACTCTGAGTATATATCCACACTGGGCAAGCTTGAAAAATATGCCTGTTATTGAAAAATAACTTGAGAAATATGCCTGTTATCTATGTACTAGTTATCAAACGCTTTTTGAAAATCGAGGTAAATTACATCAACAGAGTGTTTATTGTCCAGAGCTGTTAGAATCTTGTGGTAAACTTGTATTAACTGAGTTGTGCAATTTCTGCCTCGCAAGAAGCCATGTTGCAGGTTATTTGCCATTCCAGAAATGTGGTCATAACAGCGGTTGTAAATACATTTTTCCAACACCTTCGAAACCATTCATAACAAGGAAATCGGTCTATAATTTTCAGCGCAATGCATGTCGCCAACCTTGGGAACCGGACTGACGTTTGCCTGTTTCCATATTGCTGGAACTTCTCCTAATTTCAGAGAAAGGTTAACTGAGAGGCGTGTTAATGATGAAATAGTTCCAAGATCGTCCCCCAACTCATCGCTTCAAGCTAATATAAACACTATAAATGACTGGACCAATCACAACAACATGCGGTTTAATGTATCTAATTAAAACCAAAGAAATGCGTATATCCTTCCTTAGAGTCCCTATGGAATTCGATGCCCTCTCTTCATCTGGTTTAAACATAGAAATCGTACAGACCTTCAAACTAATTCTGGGAGTGATAATATCATCGGACCTTACCTGGAATGCGCACGTTGATTACACTGCACCAAAACAAGTAAACTTCTCTACGCTCTAAAGCCGGTTACAGACGAGCAAGTTTTCTATGACAAGTTTTTATGTGACAAGTTTTATTTGCCAAGTGCACGTGTGTATGTGCAACAAATTTTATATGACACGTTTTCATATGACAAGTTTTATTTACTGGTGTTTCAACCCCACACTGTTGCGAATCAATGGTGTAAATGGTTCGATGATAACTGCCTGGCAGATCGACGGGACGTGGACGATCACGAGGGAGGCGTTTTATTCAGAAGATTAAGAACAGAACGGTTAACGAGGCGGAAACGCAAACGGTAACAGCGATCAGGACACAGGAGACAAGAATGATGACCTACAAAATGCTAGCAAACTCGGATCACACGGGACTGTCCCCGAAAGTACGAGACGAAAATCAGGACTATGACATTTAGGTCGGAACAGTTATAGTTGGTTGAGGGAGATGTTATAGTTAATTAACCATATTTTGAAGTATGGGATTTTGTGACTTTTGACGGATGGGTTTTAGGGATTTTATATTGTGTTCACATAAGCGAATAAACATACCGTTAATACACCCTTTTCATAAATGGCTGCCGATTAAAAATTCTTTTATGTGCATATAAATTGGCCCAACTAGCCTTGTTTCTGGGTAGAAATTCCTTTGAAATCCTAACATGAGTACGAGGCTAGTTGGGCCAATTTATATGCATATAAAAGAATTTTTAATCGGCAGCCATTTATGAAAAGGGTGTATACTATTGTTTGTGGAAACGCCACGTAAATTTATTACTGCAAAGCTTTCGATAAGCCCGGATCTTCATTAGCCTGCTCGCAGCCCCCACCCGAAAATTTGAAATGGAAAATTAGGGAAAAATTTTCTATGAACGAAATTTCGGGCTGCGAGCAGGCTAGATCTTCATCAGTGCTAATAATAAAGGGTTATTGACCGAGCGTGAGGTCTGTACTATGAAATATCAGACCGCGAGTTTTTTTAGTAAAAAACAGAGGTCTGATATTTCCGACAGTACAGACCGAACCAATCTCGTACCCAGAGCCATCCACTCAACGATGGCTCTGGGTACAAGATTGAAACCGAACAAGCGAGGTCAATAACAACCTCGTTCCCAGGGTCTCTCCGTCTGTCATCTGGGAGAGACCTGCAGGCTGCTCCATTTACTGTTCGGAGTACTCCGGATTTTCGGAACACTAATTAAATCGAACCAATAATGGTCACATGACTGTTCTAGCTACCCCTACTTTTGAGTAGGGGCAGTCAGAACAGTCATGTGACCGTTTTCGGTTCGATTCGATTAGTGTTCCGAAAATCCGGAGTACTCCGAACAGTAAATGGAGCAGCCTGCCTGGCTGCGGCTGGTCACGTGCCTCCCAGATTCTGGAGTCAAACAGCACCGTTCGAAAGGTTGCTTCTGATTGGCTCTCGAGCTAAGTTCGGTGGTCGTGGTGGTCGGCCAATGATATTGCCAACAATTTAACTTATTAATTATTGGACTTGAATTGTTTAACTATTATCTATTCAGGATGTAATAGGGTGTTATAATTGACAATAGATAAGATTAAGATAAGATAGCATATAACTATAAGGTCTATTTACATTGTGCATAGGGTGGCAGCATTAAATTATACATGGCATATACGCAGTATACACGGTGTATACCGCGGTGGCGGTGGTCGTGGTGGCCGTAATATACTGAGGTATTATACGTTGTATATATATACGCAGTATACACGGTGTATACGGTGGTGACAGTGGTCGTGGTGGTCGCGGTGGCCGTGGTGGTCGTAATATATTGAGGTATTATACGTTGTATATATATACGCAGTATACACGGTGTATACGGTGGTGACAGTGGCCGTGGTGGTCGCGGTGGTCGCGGTGGTCGTGGTGGCCGTGGTGGTCGCGGTGGCCGTGGTGGTCGTAATATATTGAGGTATTATACGTTGTACTGATAAACGCATTATACACGGTGTATACGGTGGTGACAGTG